CCAGTTAGCGTCCAGGCTCGAATGCCAAGGTCGTTAGGCACATTCCTGTGGTGGAAACTCTCCTGAAGCTGGGAACCAGGGTTTGACTGCCTGCTTGACCTCCTTCTTCACATTGCCCAGGTAATTTAAACCCAATTTTCCCCAGAACAGGTTTCTGAGATACAGTTAAACTCCTCAGCAAACTGATGGATACGAGTAACAGGCACACAGTGACACGTAACAGCATTATCGGGCATCTGTAAACATGCCGTTAATTTTACATGGAAGGAAGGAGCTCCGGAGAGCGCTGGCCAGAGGAAAATGAAGAGCTTCCCAAATGCAGAGCTCTTCTTGCACTCGCCTTTGCAATGAATGCCCTTAGAAAGGGGAATGCCGCTTTATATTGACAAAAGCAGGATTCTCCATGAAGCATTAAACTCCCGTGGCAGGGAGATGTGCCTCTAATGAAGTTAATAAAAATGGCTGAAGAAAGCAGATCACTCAGCTCCTATCCCTTTATAGATTTCTGTTCCCAATCGTCCTCCTTCAGGGACTGTGGAGACCTGCCAGCTAATTTTGTGGACAGGATGGCTTCTAGGCTTGCCTCTGATCTGCAGATGATGTTATTATTTCTTCATAATTGTTTACTGTATAAAGTCAACATCTTTCTCTCCAGGGGGAGATTGCTCAGAGTAACTCATGAGAGCCTTTTAGCTTACAGTTGTGGGCCTGCCGTGGTCTTGACAACATATATCAAGGTTAATGTCATGTCAAGGCACTATTAGTAGCTCCTTTCCTTGCGCAGTTATTCTTTCAACTGTAAGAATATTAATGCAATTTAAAGTTACTTCTAGAGCATTCTTGGCTGGCCTTTAGGGTTATTGCAATTACACGGACAGAAGTTTCAAGGTTTCCGAGAGTACTGCGGGAGTAATTGCAATTGTGGGCAAAAACTAGATTTCGGTTTGTGCTCTGAAAGCACAGAACTGAAAGCAATCACCTCCACATTCAGTCCTGGCTGAGAGACGGACTCTGCCCATGACCTCTGTCATGCCACCTGAGCTTCGTATTGGAATTTTCCCATTGCATCCCCATCTGTAAAAGCGAGATAATGCTTTTTATCAGCTTTGTGGGGATTTTATAATTCGATGTTCATGAAGAGAACAGAACTGCAAGCCTTTCTGTGCTACTGCTAAATGCAAAACTTCCCTAAATCTTGGAGAACAGAGTCCCAACACAGAACCCTCAGACCACACTAAGAGAGAAAAAACAGCTTTTCTTCTTTTATTACAAAGTGAATAATTTAAGAATATTCTTGCTCACTGTCTGGAAACCATCCTTTATATGTCCCTGGGCAGAGCTGGAGGCAGCAAGGTTTGCACATCAACAGTTGTTTTGTTAACTGGTTCAGTAATACCGAGGCGAGCAAAGCACCTGACCGTGCTGGTGCCCTGGACAAGATGCTCCTCTCTGTATTATTCCAATACCAGAGTCAGGCTTATGTAACTGATTTAATAAAAAAAATAAATAAATCTCTATTCTTTGTCTTACATTTATGATCTTACAAGTGTACGCGTTGCACACTACCCATACTGCTTCAAGGCCTGACTTGGACTTGGTGAGATTTATTCTTAGGCGGTCTCCCTCCCCCAGGGCCACCGCTGGCCACAAAGTTCCCTATATTCAAAAGAACCAAAACGCTATATTCTTCTTGAAAAGCATTTGGACACTCTAATTGTCTCCCTAGGTTTCTATGACAACCACAGCAACATAAACAGCCTTGCTGGCAGCCACAGGAGACTGAAATCTCTGCTCTCCTCCCTCCCCTCCCCAGAACTTCTCAATTTAGAACACACCGTAACCAAATAAATATGATTAACAATAAACATAGAGGTGGTATCTAGTACACCAGGCTGGCACTGGGAAAACTTATTGCAAATAAAAATACATTACAGTATTTTATGATAACAGTCAAAACATTGCCTGTTACGTCAGTGCTATCGAGGTACCTTGGGACCAACGGTGAAGAACAGTGCAAAGCTATAAATATATAAACAGGAGGGTTTTCTATGTCAGCTCACACGGCTGCAGAGAGCTTTAAAAAAATACGACAAGGCCTTCTCTGTTGGTGCCTCTAAGCACCTCTCACCTTGCTGGTAGGTTACACATCAGGAACAGGTAAGCCCCCGAGCGAACGTCAGGATGGTTGGGGTTAAGATGGCTGCAGTGCTACGTGGCTGCGCACACATCATGTCATGTGGCTGTAGGCACCTCTCCATGGCTGCAGCTCCCAGCTTTCCAGCAGGAAAATCATAAATAAAATGTGATCGCAGCAGCAGTGAAATGCTCTGCATGGCACCGTCGATCTGAGCCCAGCAGAAGCCATTTCTCTGAACCTCCTGCATCAGGCAAACTGAGGTCCAATGAATCCCAAACAAATGGCTCAAGTCTTCCATCTCTTCTGAACAAAATTAATGGCAAAATACATTGCCAATATGAAGCCAGTGTAAGTCCGGAGGTTTTAAGCTATTTAAACCCATTCAGTCAATACTGGATGGCATGAAGCCACCAGGACACACAGGAGTTATAACGAGGCTGCATGTGATAATTATGGTTATCAGCCATACATAGATCACAAAATCATCTTTCAAATTATTAAACCAGTTTCTGATCGTAAAAATGCCATGTATTTTTAAAATAACTGCCACTGTACGTCTAGCTTGTGACAAAGTAACTTTGTGAAACGAAGGGATGCAATTTCAAGCATCAGCACAGATGTAATTTCTTCACCAGTGCTGTTAGTTTGTCTCAGGCACTTGTTCTCCCTATGCTGCCAGAAGGATACAGACGACTCCTGCTGCTCTGAAACACAACTGGGGATGTAACTACGCCGTTTTCACTGCAGCAATCTTCTCGCTTGGCGGGGAAATCCTACGGCTTTGTGGGACCGATTTTGCTGCAAAGGAAACTCAGGATTTGAGGAAGCAGAGCTGGGGGCGGTACGTGAATGTGAACCCCTGGAAGCCAAAATCTATGGGGATTCCCTCTGGACCAGTATGCAGAAATACACGTATCTGGGAGGAGGAGGAGGTGAAAGGCTTGCCTGTTCCACAGGGCTTGGAAGGCACAGAAGGTGCCACCTGACATTTCACAGCTTGAAGGACCGGCTTTTAGAAAACTGCCTGATTACACAGACCAGGTGGAGATGAGATTAGAAATTAATGAAATACACACTAGAAATGGGGATGAACGTACAACCTTTGGAAAAAGAAATGTGGAATTTCATTGGATTTCTTTCTTAAGGCAGAACTTTCACACTAGTGACTACCAACATAACATTTAAATTGTTCCGTTTTCTCTTGAAAGGCTTTGAACAGGGTCCTTATACTATGGAATTACTGTACAATATGGAAATGTTGTATCTTGCAATATGGAAAGGAAGTATTTCCTATCTAATTTGCTCCAATAGGAGGGTTATGTGAGAGTGAATATGAAAGGATTACCGATGCCCACATTTACTACATGTTATACAATAAGACTCCCTAATACATAAAGTTTGAGTTTATCTATCAACTATTCATAACAAGTTTATGTTTCCATTTATGTCTTCCTGCGTGTTAGCATGATTTTGCTAACTACAGACGTGCTACTTAAAACTACAGCATATATGAAATGAACGTTGACTTGGAACACAAAGACAGATCTGTTAACTCACAAATATGAGCATCCAAGTGCTGGAGAGCGTATCAGGATATTAGGTAATATGCAAAGTACGTTGTATAATGCGCCATTGAAGACAGGCACAGAAAAAGCAAGAGGGATGAGATTTTGTAGTTTTCACAGTTATTTATTAACAAACAGTAACAGCCCCAAAATGATCACAGTGCTTTTAAATTAGGATTACAAAGGATATAAGCTACCGTCTTCTGCATCTGGAAAGAACTGCAAGGCATAACATTCTAATAGTACTGCAACCAAAAGGAGGGCAATTTTAGAGTCATTTTAAATTAATGATTTTACAATTAGTAGATATTTTCATACGGCTGTCCGATATGACTCTCTGCCACTAAGGCACTTGGTTTTAACTTCTGAGAAATATATATGAAAGTTAAAAAAAAAAAAACAACAAAAAAAACCCCAGCCCAAACCACCACACAAACCTTTGCATATTTCCCAAGTACGTTTATGGCATGTGGGTGGCATAGATGAATTATGGCGAGGAGGTTTTATCAGCAGCAATTACGCATTTTATCAGCAGTAATTATATAATTCCCTTGTGGCACTGAACCATTCTAAAGTCTAATCCAAGCCCTAATCATTATTAAAGTATTGATAAAGCCTTTACAGGATGTTGTTCCAACTCATAAAGCCATTCCTTAAGAATAGTCAATACTTCAGAAAACTTGAAGATTGTTGTGACTTCACAAGGGATCTTTGTGCTGCTTAAGAAAAGGAGGTGTGATGTATTCTGCAGTTGCATTGGGACTGTTCTATGAATGCACACATTTTTATACCCAAATGCAATGTATGGCATGACGCCGCTTTTAAGCACAGGAACACAGAAATCATGCTTTTGACAATTTGAACTTTTCAGATTTTTATCATTCTAGATTACTCAGCTGAGCAACTCGGTGTCTTTAGTAGGCCAATATTAGAAGTGTGGTTTAATTAAAGCATTTAAAAAGAAAATTAATTCAGGGGGCCTTAAGTGTATACCTAGGGAATATGTCCCTCAAATGAATGAAGACATCAGGGAAAAGTAATTTTCCTAATTGCTAGTGTACTTTTGCCATGCTTTCTAAGTGGCAGACTACACCAAAATGGCTGCACACATCAGGGTCAAGGCTTTTATTTAGAACAGCTGTTAGAATGTAATCGCCCATTTTTGACAACACCAAGTTATTTTTTTCTTCCAGAACATCCTAAGAGTAACATTTTATGTAAAAGCAAAAGTGTTCTCAATAGCATAAAATACACCGTCAGTAAAGCACAAGACCAGAAAATCTTGAAAAGTGACATACCTGCCCCACGCTGCTTTCATTGTAGAATCTTTATCAACAGGAATGCATGAGGACTCAACAACACTTGATTTATTCAATTTGTAGCAGAGACCACAGTCTGGATCTAACATACATCCATTACAATAACTGAAAGAGAAAGAAATTAATACTTAAGCATCACTTTATTCATTTGTACATGTCAAAACCAACAGCATCTCCTAATCAATCTCGGGACGCACATAGTCAAGTTGTCAATGTTCGAGACAAGATAATAGAAACTGCCCAAAAACTAATACAGATTGCTTTTGCCTTCTTCTGTACCACATTTTGGTGGCCCAGTTGCAAATCTCCCGGTGACACCTGATCAGGCTGCAGGAGAATTCACTCAGGGAATGAATTTTAATTAAAAAAAAGACCGATTGGGGTTGAAAAGAAAGAATGATACATCGTACCTAATAACCAAACTAGGATTTGGGCACATACAGATGTGGGAGTCAGTCTGAGATCACGACACCATGCATCTCCATGTGGGAACTAGGCGCCTGAGTTCCCATTATGTTCGATGGATGGAGTCAATATGTCAATGGAGCCAATTCACACACAGGCATCTAGTGCCCAGACATATCCCGCCTGCCCTTCACCTGCCACTGCAGAGTGTGCAGCGCTCTTGCAGATCATTCCCATGCATCACACTTGCCAGCTTTGTACAGATATCTCCAATTTCCTTGGTAGTCTCAAAGAGCAAGAGATGCTTACATTTAGGCAGCTTCCTCAATGCAATCTTGCAAGCTCTTCAAGTGACTAGACAGTAAAACTGTTCTCTAGACTCCACTGGCTGCACTGACCACATCCCCACTGACTACTGGGAGCTGAGACGCCAAGTGCCCTACAGATACCTCCCTTAGGTGTCGGGCTAAAACCTGCCTCTGAGAGCAAACTGAGTGGATTTGGGCATGCGAGCCGTGAAGGCATTCCAAGACCCTTCATGCAGTGCAAGCGATCTGAAAGCTTCTGGCACAAGCTTCCCCAGATCTCGCAAACGCTCAAGACCATTGCTGCTGTGGTTAAACTACCCAGGTGTTTATCTTCCCCAGAAGCCATTCAGAGATATCAGTAAAAGCCTCATCAGTAAAGCCTATGATACAATCTAAGGGATAACTTTGGGAGATAAAAATAGGAGAATGAAAAACTGTCAAACATGGAGTAAATCTGGACATTTGAAATTAAAATTAAGCTTTGCAATGTAACATAAGTAAGGTGACCAAAACAGCTTCAACATATATCCCTGTAACAACAAAACCAAGGAAATAATCCTTTCTGAGTGTGTATCTTTACTATAACAATGACTCAGTGAATGAAGAAATAATCCACTTAAATTACTATACCATTATGAAAAAAGTAAAAATAACTGTATAACAAAGTCCCAAGAAACTAAGTCAGTAAATCAGATTATATGGATTTAAAAAGTCTGAAAGTACATGTTTGAAATCTAGTCATTCAAACTTTTCTTACTATGATGTTTCTAAAAGAGTTATAATAAGGTCAACTCACAAGGCAAAAAAGAGGTCTGGGAAAGTGTTAAAAACAGTATATTCATTTGCATTTTCCTACTTCTCCCAGGTTTCAGAAATTTGTGTTCTTTGTTACTGTGTGCTTTCTAAAGTATCAAATTACTGCAGAATTTCCATGGTGTCTACTTTTTAGAAAATAAACCTATTTTAAGTACGCCTTCCTCTTGCTTAACTGATAGGTCAAATTCAGGTTTGAACAGCTTTTGTTTTTTTATATTAGGAAAGCTGCATTAAATCAGCTATTTAATAGAGATATAAACTGCAGAAAACATTTTTACAATGGAGATGAAACGAAACTTTCAGGTAGAAGTCAATTATCTAACTGTAGTAAACATTTCTTCTCTTGCAAAGATAAATGAGAAAAATGTAACTCTGCAATTATCAATTATGACAGGAAAGGACAATTCCAATATTACATTAGTGAGACTTAGTTACATTTTGTTAATCCATATTAGGACAGCAATGGGCAGCAACCAAAGCAGTTGACAGCAACAGAAGACTGCAGATGAACAAAAACATTTTTATAAATCACAAGTGCGTTTAAGCATGTAATAATAATAATATTAAAAATAACTTAAAAATTATAGTATCTTCTAGTGAAAAGAATCCTATGATATCAAACAGGATGCTGATATATGATTTTTGAATTGTAGAACATCTTCCACTCAAATTATGTTGTATATCAAAGTATCTTTCAACAACATGAATTTCTAAAAAGACCCAGGGTGCTAGCACATCCAGCATGGCAGCCTGGCATAGAAAGCAGCCATTTCCAACTACTACATGCTATCAACTGCAGCAGTGGATTTTTAAGTCAACTATATGCAAATTATATTCAATGTGAACAGCATGTGCAAAATTTAACAGATTAAAGTGGTCTTTCTCTTTGGAAAATCTCAGGATTCAAGGTTTCTCTAGAGTTATGCTTTTTACGTTTTACTTCAAGCAGAAATATAGTTAAACACCGAACAGTAGCCAGAACATCAGCAGGACACAGGAATACAGAAGAATGACAATTAGACACAGCGATGAGTGCCATCTTTATGTGTTGCCAGCAGAGGACAGAACAGGGACTGGACGCTCATCGTCTCCCCCAGTGTCCTCACAAAAATCAATGCATGAGATGAATGACAGAACTGAACTGTGCACCGTCTGTTCTGTCCTACAGGGCTCTCTCTACGGATAACTCAACGTAACCTCAGGTGGCGTTGGGCATCATTAACCAGTGAACCGGGAAGCAGAAGGTATCTTATTTATTCCTCTCCCCCATCCAGCAGTTCAGAAAAAACTCAAGAAATTTGATTATTGATTCCAGTGTCAGTCTATATGGCTGTTGTTCAGCTGTGCCTTGGACTTTATTGGGTATGCATAACTGTGTCTTCCAGTTGGCATTCAACATAATAAAGGCTGCTGGATTTCATATTATGCCAAATGTCAGAGGTTATAGTTACTCACAACAGTTTAAATAATTCAAAATTATTGTTTTCCACAGCTTTTCTGAAGCTTTTCTTTCAGATTGAAAAGTTAAATGACAAATATCTATAAACCCTTTACCTTTGGGTTAGGATTTGCTGTCGTTAGCTATATAGTGAGTTCATACAATCAGGCTTTGACTTTAGGTTTTACAGGCAAGACCAATTTATGTCAGAGAAAACCCAGAAATTCAATATACGAGACTTAAAGTCCTTTCAAATCTAAGTCCCAGCAGACTTAGAGTAGGCGGTTGCTGTTCAGATCATCTAGCATTCTTCTGTGCCCCGTTTTATTACTGATATTAAATTTTTATGTTGACTTTGATGAGGTAGAGAGTCATCGCTTTTTCCAAGAAGACTGATGGGTTTTTTCTTCAAAATTCCAACATATACGCACTACAACTGTTTCATAACATAGTAAAGAAATCTGTATCAGTTAATAAAGACTAATGATCACTGAAGATGCAGCATGAAATAAGCAAGGAAGTTTTTTTTTTTAAAGAAGCAATTTAAAAACAACTAAAAAAAATCATGTGCTGAGGCTGTTTACTCTAAATTTCTCTTTCAAAAAATGGAAATAAAATATATAGTAGTTTCAGGCTTATACTCTTCTTCATACTAGCCCCAGTACTATTTGCTAAACAAACATATTTAAACAATTTGAAATTGAGCGCATATTCACGTGTTCATAGTGATGCAAATAAATTAGGACACAAAATACACCAGGAAAAGAAATACACAATATAATACTTATTGACATGTAACTATCTACCACAGATCTTCCTGTCCTCAAATGTACCTTCTTATCAGCCCTACCCAGATATACCCAAATATATGTCAGAGTATAAATCTGTAAAAATACTGATACTTCTTCAAATCTACACCACAGATCAGTTATGGCCTTGAAAGCTCTATACCAGAATACTCTAGGATGTCTATGATAAGAAGGAAATTTGCATCCAATGGGAGATATGTTTCCTGTACTTTATCACGAAATATTTATATCCGTGCTAAGGTTATGAGCTAGTGTCTTGGAAACAGGTTCCTCCTGCGAAGAGCCAGTTGAAAATTCCAGGCAGGATGGTTCTCAATCAGAGACTGACAACTCATCAAGATTGAAATACCTGAGAGAGATGATTTGATTTTGATGAAACCAGGCAGCATTACAGCAGAAAGGTTTTACAACGTGCCTAGTTCCCTCCCTGCCTACCAGCTGGGCTCCTAGGCAACCCAACAAGAAGGCAAGCGTCTAGACTTCAGATGCTTCAGCCTATGGAGCAGAATAACAACAACCAGGAATGTGAGGCTCCGGAAGTTCAAAGATGCCCAGCTTCTTTGCAGCTCAGTGACATGAAGTCTACAAAACAAAAGTCTCAGTGGCCTGGCCCCTCAGTTTATTTGGAACTGCCATGGCATGGGATTTTGGGGTTCCTGCCTCATTGTCAGACCATGTTTACTGACAAGCTGATGAACTGTTAAGAGACTAGATATCCTCAAACCTGCAATTCCCAACTCCAATTCTGCCAATTCAGTCAAGGCTTCCATACCCTTATGTCCTCTTCATCTGACCAAATGGGAAGATGTGACATCTAGAAAGCCTGACAGCACTAACTTCAAAGTCCTTTGCTAGCAATTTCTTGCCAGCTGGAGCACCACCAGCTTTCAGGATGCTCTGCTCTGGAGCAGCCTGCCCAATGAACGTTCCTGAGGTTACAGGTTGATCCCAAATGTCACAATTCTTTCCTCTTTCACAGAGAATTTAAAGTATATAGAAGAATTATTAATTGTCTAGCTGTGCACATTTTTCTTGATACCAAAATGACTGGTTTTTTTCTTCTTAACAGTGTCATTTACTAGCCTCTAGTGCAGTCTCTAAAAAGACTGAATAAAATCTCTGACCTGCTGAAGTGACCCTCCAGATGGCAATGGAAAGTTCACAATTGCTTCTGCCCCTGCTTTTTCCCCACTGCTTAGAATACTCCCTATTTACATTTGGTTTGTCATTATATTTTGTGCTTTAAATTTGTAAAATGACCTTCTAAATTATGACTTTCATAAAATTCTCAGGACTCTCTTAATTTGCGCTGCAAATTGTACCTTGCCA